AGAGAGACCTCAACTCAAAAGAAACCCCTTGAAAAGATAATGCACCGCCCCAGACCTCCAGAAAAAAAAAAAATGCAGGAAGGAACTGCTCTGGCAAATCCACTCCGGAAGAAAAAAATCCAAGTACATCCCCGGAATAAATATCCTGGCTCCTCTCTCTTCCCGCCCTCTTGTCTCTTGCTCCTCTCTCATTGGCTAAATCCACCTGCCAATCATCCCGATATGGCGCCGGGCGACTGTCAATCACAGCCCGGCACACGCCCTCCCACGATGCACTGCGTCTGCGTGGGCCCAGTCGATCCCACCCAGACCTCAGGGCTAACTGGTCGACCCGCGGAGTCCGATCAGTTTTGTGGCAAAGTTTTGCTTCGCTAGTGATAGCTGGAGAAACAAGACGGAAGGCGGCTTCGGTTTGCTGCAGCCGTCTTTTGTATTTTTGTATTTCTTTGGGCGTCCGGTGGGGAGACGTGGAAGGGGCCGCTGGGGACACGGGGAGGGCGGGCCCCGCGCGCACAGCCGTGCGTACAACCACAACCCACGCCAGCACGCACGCTTGCACGCACAGGCTGACGCGCATTCACACGCACGGGCAAGCACGCGCACGCATACAAATGCTACCGTTGCACACACGCGTGCAAACCCAGACGTGCGCACACGTGTGTTCGCATGCACACGCAAATGCATTACCATCTACGCACAACTACACGCACTTCACACGGGCGCGGGCACGCATGGACAGGTGCACACCAACACGCGTGCAAAGCCGCGTAACACGTGCGCGAACGTACACGCTCCCATCCGTGCAGACAGTGAAACACAAACACGCACAAAGACGTGCTCGCGTGCGTGTGTGCAGAAGTGCACCGCAGGACGCGGGCGTAAGTACACGGACAAGTGCTCACACACACACACACACACGTCGTGCAAATACACACAAGCACAGAAGTAAAGAGAAAGACACGTGCACGGCCTTACAGCACACACAAATAAACAGAGGCCCACGCAAACGCGCAGATGTACAGACGCGCGCACACACCCGTGATGCTCCCCTCTCACCACCACCCAGACGACCCCTCACCCACGCGCACACCCCCACACACGCGCGCGCACATAAACATAGACACGCACTAACACAACTCAGTTTTTTTAAAATAGAGGAGCCGGGTGTGGTGTCGCACGCCTGTCCTCCCAGCACTCAGGAGGCTGATGCAGGAGAATCGCTGAGAGTTCGAGGCCAGCCCGGGCTACACAGTAAGACCCTGGTCTCAAAAAGCAAAAATCAGGGCCGGGGATTTAGCTCAGTGGTGTCACCTCCTGCCTTGCAAGTGCAAAGTTCAAAGTTCCGATCCCCGGTACCAAAAACCAAAAATCAACAATGAAAGAAGAAGAAACTGTCACTGTCCCTGCGAGAGTCAGAAAGGTGGCTGGGGCTCAGGCATTGTTGCCTCCAACGGGAACACCCTCTTGGAGTAACGGGCACCTGGCACAGTGGGGGAGGGGGGCTTGCCTGCCACCCCCATTGTCCATGTCACCAGCCCCACCCCAGGCTCTCCAGGAGTGACTGGGCCAGGTGACAACTCCAATCTCGGTAACCCACACTTGTGCAGGCAGAAACAGATACTCAGTCTTCAATCTGTCCAGGAAGCCCTCCTGCTTCAGCCTACCAGCCAGGCACAGACAGAGTCTCTCGCAAGGTTCTTGCTGCTGAGTATGTTGCTGTTGGCTAATTTTTTCTTTTGCATTTGCAGCGAGTTCTCCAGCTGGCGGCTGCGGGGAAGTGGAGATAGGACGCCGGGCTGGGCCACCGGATTCTATTCAGGGGCAGTGATGGCGCACGCCTGTCATCCCAGCACTCCGGAAGGCTGAGGCAGGAGGATCGCAAGTTCAAGCCCAGCCTGGGCAATTGAGAGACTCAGAACCTGTCTCAGTTTTTAAAAATAAATAAAATTGGCTGGGGATTTAGCTGAGTGGTTCCGCCACCTGCCTAGCAAGCACAAGGTCCCAAGTTCAATCCCCGGTACCACAGAAAAAGAAAAGCTAAAAAGAGATGTGCACAAAAAATAAATAAAATTAAAGGGCTGGGAGTTGAGACCATGGGTTCGATCCCTAGGACTGCAAAACCCTAAAAAGTAAATATTCCTGGCGCGGGGGGTGGAGGTGGTCTGGCTTCGGACGGGGCTGCTGCGGGGAAGAGGACTGGAGTCTGGGGAGAGGGAGGTGAAGAGGGGCCGTCGGGGAGCTCCGCAGCCCGCTTCTCAGTCTGGCTCCCGGGAGGAGGAGGCCCCGCCCTCCTTAGCAGCCCCTCCCCACTCCCACCCCAGTTCCTACCAACCAGTAAAATAAGTTTTAAAAGGAGGACTCGGTGATTCTCGATGTTCATCTTTGAGGCCCACCCAGCGGCAGCCTTTTTGTAGCCATGAGGACATCTCCCAGGTCACTCCTCCCCTCCCTTGCTTTGGCTGGAGGGAAGTTTGCAAATGAAAGCCAGGCGCAGTGACCCCACTCCCCAGAGTGAACAAAGACTCAGACACGGGGTCTTTTGCTCCCAGGGGCCGCCTGTCTGAGGCCTGTCTTTGGGAACCCGCCCTGGGTTGGTGACCCTGGTTTACAAAGATTTGCACACGTTTGAAAAAGACAGGGAACTGGGGTCCCTGGAAAGGGCGTGGGGGGAGCTTCCCGGCTCCTGGTGGATTTTCAAAGGGGTCAGGAAGGCTCCTAGGGCTCATTTGGATCCCAACAGGTCACCCACCCCTCGGCCTCCCACAGGCTAAGCGAGCTGAGCTGAGAGGATTCCGTGGCCCGCGGAGCCATCTAGCGGCCGACACAGACGTCCCCCTTCCATTCGGGGCGTGTTGTAGCCATGAGGACATCTCCCAGGTCACTCCTCCCCTCCCTTGCTTTGGCTGGAGGGAAGTTTGCAAATGAAAGCCAGGCGCAGTGACCCCACTCCCCAGAGTGAACAAAGACTCAGACACGGGGTCTTTTGCTCCCAGGGGCCGCCTGTCTGAGGCCTGTCTTTGGGAACCCGCCCTGGGTTGGTGACCCTGGTTTACAAAGATTTGCACACGTTTGAAAAAGACAGGGAACTGGGGTCCCTGGAAAGGGCGTGGGGGGAGCTTCCCGGCTCCTGGTGGATTTTCAAAGGGGTCAGGAAGGCTCCTAGGGCTCATTTGGATCCCAACAGGTCACCCACCCCTCGGCCTCCCACAGGCTAAGCGAGCTGAGCTGAGAGGATTCCGTGGCCCGCGGAGCCATCTAGCGGCCGACACAGACGTCCCCCTTCCATCCTCGGGGTGTGTGTGTGTGTGTGTGTGTGTGTGTGTGTGTGTGTGTCCATGCATCACCATGGCAACAGGAGTTTCCCACAAGGCTCTGGGCCTCCTGACAGCCCCGCGCGGAGCAGTGGAGCAGACCCTGTGCCCTCCCAGCCCCTGCTCCTCCCGGCTCTCTCAGAAGCGGAAGCCGCACACACACCCCCCATTTCCTGCCCTCCCCGCACCAGCCAGGCCCAAGCCCAAAGGGCAACAAACCTGCGGTCCTAAAATCCAGGCCTTTCTCGGTGTGGTGGCAGACAGGCTCCAAAGGGGCCGTGTGTTGATCAAGGTTTTCCCAAGGCCGCTACCACCGAGGTCCCATGCTGCTCTGAGCAGGGCTGGCTTTGAACATGGAACCCTCCTGCCTCAGCCTTCAGAATAACCCCTGCCGGGATTCCAGGTGTGCACCACCAGGCCCGGCCTTATGAACTTTCCTTCTACTGAGGCGGTGCCACCTTTGCTGGCGTCCAGGTCGCTTTAGCTCCTCCTGTCCTCTGAAGTTTCTCCTCACCTCGGTGTTTAGCCGAGGGTGACAGTTACTTCAGTGAGGACTGTGGATGGAGGGTTGGATGGATGCAAAAAGACATTTAGATAAAGACGTTCTAAGGGACAGATAAATGCATAAACACATGTGAATGATATCACCCATGCCTGCGCCGTCCCGGCGGCCTCGAGGTCCCGAGCGGACCCAAAACGGTGACCTTTCCCGTGCTCCCGACCTCGGGGAGGAGCCGGGAGTCGCGCGGTGCCGGACGCGGGGACTCGGTGGACGAGGACACGGCGCCTGTGTCTCCGAGCAGCCTTTCTTCTGGGCGGCAGCCATTACCGGGTTTGCGATCAGGGCCGGTGAAGACCCTGGGAGAGAGGAGGCCGGAGCCGCTGCAGGACGCGGCCGGGAAAGCGGGAGAAGGGTGGGCCCAGTAGGGAGGATTTTGTGGGGAATTTGTGTCCTTTCGTCGGTTACTGCAATGCGCTTTTCTTAAACATTCAATGTATATTCTGGTTGCACTGTGTAGCCTACAGTGGGGGATAGGACGGTACCAGAATCATTGTCTAAATAGGATGCAGGAGAAAAAAGGCAGGGACCCTCACCACCATATCGAGGAAGCCCCAGAGAGAGGTAAGAAAGAAACTGCTGAAGATGTATGAGGTCCGTTCCTACTCCACCGCATCTGGTTTTCCTCTGCCCACACAAGTCCTCTGGCCTCACCAGACGGCCAGGACCTGAATGCTGCTGGTCACTCTGCCGCCACTGAAAACTACAGCTTGAAAGAACAGACGTTCACGAGGCTCGTGGTCTCAGGGGGCTCAGCCCGCGGTCGGCTGCTCCAGGGCAGGAGCGTCGCGGTGGGCGGGTGTGGGGAGGGCGGACGCTCACATCGGGGGCCCAGGGGGCCGAGACAGAGGCGTCTTCCCCGGCCCTGGGGACGAGATCGCGCCCTTCCCACCCCTACAGCCCGCTCAGCGGGAGCTCGTCCCCGATGGGTCCGCGACCGGCACGGCAACCCCACGACCCAGTCGCCTCCCGAAGATGAAGCCACAAAGCAAACCCTGAAGCCACGGTAAAGCCACAGCGTGAGGGCCGTCGGCCGCTCTCCGCGGAGACGCGCCAGGGAAGACCGGGACACGGGCAGACTTTTCTGTTTATTCCACCGCTGTTTTGGCGGCTGCTCCGGACCCGGGGCGGTCACTTGCGGGCCAGCATGGCGTCGTACGGGCCCCCGGTCCTCTTCAGCTGGAAGCCCCCGAAGCCGGCGGAGGCCAGGAGCGCGCGGTACTGGCTG